GCCGCTGGGTTATTGAGCATTTGATCTTCTCTCCTTCACTGCTGACATGTTTTGCAATGCATGATCGATGCACGGTTGCACTATCACCCGTTTTCGAAAAGGAAACGCAAGTCACCAGAAGAATGAAGACGATGATGGAGAATGGCTCGAAAGGGATATCAGAATAATATCAAAACACCGACACTTCCTTTCACCTTATGACAGCATCTCGGCATGCATCATTTGCTACTCTTTCCACGTCTCTCCTCGCTGATCAAATACTCTTTATCATATCGTACAGAGTCCTCTCCGTAGCTTTCCCGGTGCCGCAAGTCATGCAACCGTCACTTCGGCATACCATAGACATGACAACATGCCAGCTATACAGACTGGTTTGTATTTACTACGAATGGTAGTAAAGGTAGTTTCTCCACCCGTCATTGGTGAACTTTGGCCCCAAGATTACTTCGATAGGGGTCAGGCGTTAATAGTAGTCATCTGTAACTGGTCTGTAATGGTTACCACTCAACAGTAATCTGTATTTATTGATAGAGGTTTACAGTACTCGGTCTGCAGTGGGATACTATGCACTATTAGCTAATAGTGTTCAGTAGTCAATTAATTAGTTAGTTGTCCGTTGTCAGTTTTGGTCAGGTTTGATGCAGCTCTCAGAAGCGGTAAAGTATCAGCTTTAGTTATCCGCTGGTCAGGACCATTATAGGTCAGGAATCATCAGGACGGGCCCGTTAGACCACCAATCCTCAGTGACACGGGGGGGGGGGCGTTGACTCTTCTGCAGCTGAATTTCTCCTGGCCACTCCCCCGGCGAGACTGGCACTGGCGGCGTTCCGGCGCGTGGTTTCCTTATCAGGGAGAGTCTTCTGCCGGCAGCCGGCACGTGGCGAGAGTACTACAACCCTACCGCGGTGGTTGAACTATACCCCTATAGACTCTCTAGGGATAGACTCTGACTCTGACTGTAGACTCTGTAATACAGTAGTCAATGACTACACTCAAGCTACTAAAGACTCATGCGTGATAAGATTATTAGTAATACCATGGTAATACTGGCTTTCGTGATCCTCGAGATAAGTATATATTCTATCATTTTCACTACACAATCAATCAAGTATTTACTTAAAACCAATTAATAATATCCAGAAAGATCTTATTTAACAATACATAGATCAAAACATTATTGTACGCGCTACTATGTATAGGTGTGTGAACGTTTGATGTAGTCTGCAATGTTCTCATACTTGACGGCTCTGTAAAGCTCAAGTCCGGTTATTTTTTCACTCTGACCTTCAATTTAGACGGTATCAGACAATTCACAATGTCGCAATCACATTAGCTATTTAGGAATTAATTGGTGACAATGACGACAGCTTGGCACTGTTCCACCTAACCTGGTTTTGTAATTAAATAAGCTCATGAGCCGTGACAATACGCTTACATTGATTGTAATCGTGAGTGTATTCGTGAGCCGCGTGGGCGCATGGCGGTATAAAAAGTCACGGCTTTTATGTTACGAAAAAAGTGCAAAAATAATCGGGACCATTATCAGAAAATATGGCAATGTTTTCTGCTTTGGGAAATCTTGCATGAACATGATTACATGGTCGTGAAGTGTCCATACTAAAAACCCTTACGCTTAGGCGAGGAAAGGGAGCTGCTCACGAAATATCAATTCTGACTAGGGATTTTCATTATGAGTGCATACCGTTTTCTTTTTGTTTCTCGCTCGTGACAAAACGTGCTCGAATTATAACGCGCCATGGCAAAGGGGTATATTAGGTGTAAGTTTGAAACGACATGTCTTGAGTCACGTCGCTAAACAATCCCGAAAACAAGTCTCTAGCCAAGACCACTATTGTTATTCTTGCGATTACAAATATTTCAAGGTTCCCAGCTTTGGCATTATGATAATGCAATGTAGGTAACAAGCAAGTGTGACAGGTATTACGTGACTCAGATAACGGTTAATTCAGTCGCTGCACTAACAACAATGTTCATGTTGCCAGCAGCATGGCCTATTCGAATATTTAAATCTGAATGTCATCTGTGCTATACTCAAGGCGAATCAGTTCAGACAATGCCTGCTTTGTTGAATGCAGCATCCATGCTTACAATCTAATCTGCTTCAATTTCTTAGAGCAAAGCTCGAAACCGTATTTGGATGAGGTGACTAATTCAATCAAAAAGTACCAACATTAACAATTACCCATAAGATGGATACCGTATAATGCTGAACTGTATTTGCTTCAGTATTAAGCTCGTTGTTGCTCTTCAAGTAACAAAGAGCATGTCTCGAGCAATGATGCATTCGCCTACCTGTCGGTAAGCCCCCTTCATCCCTCTTTTATTGGCCATGATTTATTTCACTCGGTCGTGAAACGCCAACCCGTGTTTCGTCTGATCCTACCGCGCCAGACCTAGATCGATAAAGGTCGACCCACTAGCCCCCCGCCGAGTGACCCGGTCGTGACTATTTACATGAGAATAACGGCGGTGGCTCGACGCACTCCCACTCGCGTCTCACGCCACCCGGGCGCCCAGCACCCCGCAGAGAGCGTGCCCTCTATCCTGCAGGTCACAGGTCAAGGTCAGTAGCCGACGATGGCCGGCCGGCCGCCGCGGCTCAGCTGATTGCGTGACGTCAGCTGATTCAGAGCAGCTGACGCGTCTAGCCAGGTGAATAGGAATGCGGCATGCGTTTAACGGCGCTACATTATTTGACGACAAAGCCGGACAAAGCACATTCGTGCGCTCGAACGCTACCGAACTGAGCCAGAATGAATGACGTTTTACTGAATGTCGTGCATATGATTTGTGCGGTGCAGACACTACGGGACCGAAACGTGCCATTGACACTCCCATGCCTTACCGCACTTACCATATCACCCCACCACATGCCACGACCATGCCACAGAGCCAACGTGGCACGGTCGGTCAGTGTGCTCGAGCCAGGTTTCCATTGGCCAGTCAGAGCCGCCGAGACCCGGTACAGAGTAGCTGTGACCCCAGCCAACAGACCGCAAGACCAGTCAAGCATATCGGACGGCCTGCCGGCGCACCGGCCAGAGAGTGCGAGCGACGGTCGGCCGCGGAGGCTAGACCCCAGGCAGGAGAAACGGGCCGGTGGATTGAGAGGTTAGGAGGGAGGGGACGTCCAAATGGTGGGGTCAGGACCAGGGATTAGGAGGAAAGTAGAGCAAAAATAACGGGGAAGATACTTAAAAAGTGGGTAAGGACGACGTTTCTACATCAAATGGAAGGACGACATAAACATTTTATGGGGAAGGCATAGGGTAACTATTGAAGTACGTTATTTTATCTTCAAAATACTTCAGAAGCTACCAGAGAAAAACTGCAAGGAAGACATATGATGAGTGCTGACAGCGGCCCTGGTCTTTCTTCCTGTTAGTAAGCTTAACTAATATATGATCATTGACCATCCTTCGTGCGGTGTTTTTATCCTCCATTGGATTGGTGTTCCAGCCGGTAACAAAGACGTAACGTTACTTTCTAACGGCGCCTTTCGACTCGATTGGCCGGGGTCATTAGGAAGTGTGATTTACCAACCTTTGACTCATGGACACATTTGTTACCCACTGTTACCACTCAAATTACCTCCCAGACAAGAGGAAGATGGAGAGGAGAGTGGGGGGCTCGAAAATTAGGTGAATGGAGAGCGGCGGAACGAGAGAGAGAGAGAGAGAGAGAGAGAGAGAGAGAGAGAGAGAGAGAGAGAGAGAGAGATGGAGAGAGAGAGAATGAGAGAGAAAAGAGAGAGAGGAAGAGAGAGGAAGAGAGAAAGAGAGAGAGGAAGAGAGAGGAAGAGAGAGAGGTAGAGAGAGAGAGGGAGAGAGAGAAAGAGAGAGAGAGAAAGAGAGAGAAAGAGAGAGAGAGAGAGAGAGAGAGAGAGAGAGAGAGAGAGAGAGAGAGAGAGAGAGAGAGAGAGAGAGAGAGAGAGAGAGAGAGAGAGAGAGAAGAGGAAAGGGGAGGGAGAGGCGAAAAGGGGAAAAGACAGCGAAAAAGAAAATGCCAAAAAAGGAATATCCTTATAACTTTCATGTGCTTGATAACAATAGTTCTCAGAACACCTTACTTTTATTGGTGAAATATTTATTGTCATTATGCTCTTATCTCACAAGTGATTATAATTTCTACCAAAACCCGACCGACGTCACAGGAGGCTTTGTCGGAGCTGCACTAGCGCGCTGTAGTTGGTTGACAGATGACTGTCAACAACAGATGCGGTATGTTGACAGATAACAGGTGATTGTGGGGAAGCAAAACGCCCGGAAGAGAGCGGAACCGGCGTGGGAAGATGGCGGATGTAAGGAAGAGAGTGTCTATTTGTTACGGTGTGGTAATGATGTAGGGTATCAAAAACATGTGCCTCGATAAGCCAGTGCATCGCAAAAGGACGGAAGCTCAAATGCAGCGAAATTTGGATTTACAGTTGTTTGGTGGAGAGACCGCATTATTTTTTTGCCCAATAGAATATAAATGATGGTAGCATGTTTGATCTTGGCGGTTTAACTTATCTCACTCACGAAAAAGATTCATGATAGAGGAAAAGTTCACAACGGAGGAAGGAAACGACCACTGGGAACAGAGGTGCTAAGAAAATTCACATACGCCAAGTAGCTCTGAAGGTCATGTTTCCGGAATATTAGTCCAAAAACGTGACCATGGGTACGGCCTAAGCGTGAGCAATTCAGAAATTAAGCAGATGATCGTGGAGTTTCAGATCTTGAGCTGCAAGAAAATGCAGGAATAACAAACCCCCCTTATTCATGTGAACAAAATTTAAGCATTTAATTCTTCCTTTGCATGTGATACGTAAAAGAAGCGGCCTTGTCAAAAGTTGTATTTTCTTCTTTGCTGCTATGTCATATTTCTCATCTTATGTTGTTCATCCCAGCGCCCACGCTTGGATTATTTCGAAAACTTTCCTTACCGGGTGCAATATGACTTTGCGGGCGGCGAATATTTTTCACACGAGGACTAACCTGCGTCGGCGGTGACGATGCAGCACAGATGAGCCACTACAATGGCAATGGTCGCACAGAGTGGCTTCATCTTCTTCTTAGTTCGATGATTTATCACTAAAACAGAGAAAATAAGTCAATAAACGTTGCAAGCTTTTCCGCAACAAAATGTTGACAGGTATTCACTTCAATCAGTCCATCTAACATGGAAAGACAGCCTGCCTTTTAATGGCTTCCGCCGGCTGTTGCACGAACTGAAATTGGTTTAAACTCTATCAACCAGTTGTTAGCAGACATCATCGTTCAATGTTGGAAATCAAAGAAAAGAAAAACTGTTCACTTCCGCCCCAACGGAACAGACAGTGTCCGCCTGTCAGGGACAGACCGCAGCAACCTGTCGTGAATGAATTCCAGAACATACTGTCTGAGCAGTCTGTCACAGCAGACTGTCAGGGCCCGACTGCTAGGATGATGACGGGGCTCACACTGCAGGAAGTGTCGACAGATGCGTGTGAACAGACTAGTGAGCTGCGTGTGAACAGACCAGATATGACGACGCACCAGGTGGTGGTCCACATTGGGATGGACCGGTCCATCCCAATGTGGACCGGTCTATCTCAGTGTGGACTGGTCCACTAAAAATGGCTCATCCGTCGACTCATCGTGGTGAGAAGCTGCTCTTCTTCCACGTTCCACCTAGGGTGCTTCCATCTCCGTGAACTGGGAGCCGAGGAAGATTCATGGTCGACTGATGTCGGTCCAAATGCTCGATGATTTATTGATTTGATCGCACGTACGCGTGTACTTGTCCCAGAAATCAAGTAGCGCACAGATGCGAGCACAACTTCCTCTTGCGTGGACCAGCCGCTCGTGAGATTTTGTCAGCTTGCAGAGCGGATAAAACCGGGGTACTCGTAGTTTGTACATTGCATAAGAACGTCTCGTACAACACCAGATGATCTTTGACCGTCGCTGTTGCGCAGCACATAGTTTTATTATTTCCTGAAAACTTTCTCTCGGAAATGCTCGAACGTGTCTTTTTTGTATTGTGGTTGCGGAGTCCAGTTTCATGCGGTAGTAAGTCCTTTACCAAAATGCCATGTCACGAAGGATACACGGCATTCCGTTAAACTGACATGAGGTTTGAAGGACGGCTTTATCTGGTGCCGCCCAACATCCATTCTCAGATTCCAGCCCCTCACTTTCTCTTCCCTATTTATGGCAGAAAGTTCCGGTGTACAGGGCACACGGAATGTGACAGACTCTTTTGTGTGTACCGCTCCCCGCCCTACCCAGCATCAGCCACTTCTGGCCAGGAAACCAAGCTATACCTAAATCCTAAGTGATAGTGCCCCCAGGTCATTCCTCACATCCAGCTTGCTAGCAGAAGCGCATATGTTATAACAGATGCGGATTGATGAAGCAATCTTAGCCAACCCCATGTTTAGTGTAACGGCTTCTAGCAATTCGGCGAAATGCAAGATGTGAAAAGACAGGCAGCCCTTGAGAGACGAGATATAAAGTGTAGCTAAAGGGGAAAAACGAGAAGAACTACAGCTCGAAACATCTTCAATGTCTTTCAATCCTCTGCCTACGAACTATATAGACGAAAACAAAAACTCGTTTATGATGTCATGCGCCGTTCTAAGGCTTTACAAGATGAAAGACGGTCCAGCGAACAGAGATTATGTATGGTGTCAGGTGTGAGTCACCATGTAACTAGATGGATGATGCTCGTTGCCTTTACGCCTGGTTTCCGTGTCATGTTTGATAATAATATTGGACTTAAATATGCTCATATCTTTTTTATTAATCTTTGACGACTTTCATTTATATTCAGCAATTTAAAATGCTTCATACCATGCCACCATAGGTTTACTATGTACATATATAGCGCAATATGATATATGACCGAGGGTCCGGACCATTCAAACCTAATCTAATTCACGGGTCTCATGCCTGAATAGCCCATACATAGGTCACATATGTCTTTGAGAAAGACGCTGTTCATTTCAAGGTTATGTGCTACGTGAAGTTACTGACCTTAGATTTATTTTTAAGTGCTGTCGTGCTTTAGACCGATCATATCGTTATCCGCACGTCATAAAGCACACTCGGACACAATCACCCTCACTTAAAAACTGCTATTTTTCGCAGGAATTTGGAATTGAGCCGGAAGGACGATGGACTTTGATAAGAACCTACTGCTGATGAAAAAAAATAGATTCGCGACAGCGTTTTCAGATAAAGTGCTGGGCTTGTCACGCAGCAAATCAATCCTAAATGATGGACTTTTGTAACCAATGCCCATTTTTACAGCCATAGAATTAGAGCGTTTGTTAATATTTAGTGGATAGCTTTAAGAGTTTAATTGATAAAAATATAATTCTATGATATGTTAACATATACCTAATATGGTACAAGCGATTGTCTTTTTTGTAAACATCTATGACACTAATTCTTTGGCATGGTACAATGCGTACAAAGTGACAAATATGTTGGACAGAAATGCGAATTCTCATTGACGGATATGTGTGACGGCGATGCGTGGCGGCTATCAACTCACGTAAGCACGGACATCATTATGCTTATCACCGCGTACCTCGAAGGAAATATGAATGCTTCGGCATAAACATGGTAGGAGTGCACGAATACATCATTTGGAAATATGACCTTTACAAATCTCGGCAATCATTAAAGGAAATAGTTCACTTTCACGAAATTATTTTTTTTGCAACGGATTTATGATTTTTTATGTTCAAAATAATCAGCAAAGAAAATAAAACCTTTTTATAACAAAATATTATTTTCTATTATTTTGATATAGGAAGAACTTTTCAGTTTCTGTAAGGCACAGGCGATCCAGTATGAAAAGAGCATGGGTCCCGAAAATTCTTCAGAAACAGAGAAATTATCGCAGCCACCGGCATTTGGGCGATCTGCTCGATCTGATAATGTTCCCCTGAATGTCCTAATTGATCAGTACGAGAATTTCTCTAGAGTTCTCGTAGATAATTTATCTAGTTTCTGAAGAATTTTCGGGACCCATGCTCTTTTCATACTGGATGGAAATATATGCAAGGCACACATCCTCAACGCAAGACACCTTTTTCGGGACGAGAAATAGAATATCTTTGCCTAGGGTGATCGTTGGGCTGTAAAAGCTCCTGATTTATGCTCGTCTCAGCCCAAGCTACGGAACTGCTATTCCAGTTCAAAACCCATGTTAAAAAGTGAACTATTTCCTTTAACATCATATGTGACAGTGTCACTTCTGCCTTGCACAAAAGGCATCATAAAAATGATCTGACGACTCGGAAACGGCTCGAAACACGCTTGAGAGCCTATTATGCAACATCTACACTGTTAGTTCATTTGAATAACAGTTGCCGACAGGAAGCAGGCTCTTTAAGCAAATTTTCTCACGACATTTGCCGGCAAAAGGTCGGATGATGTCACCATCTTTTACAAACGATCGAATGATAGTTTACATGGGAGTTACTAGAGATGTCAATCGGATACCAACTTTTTGGTATACCGATACCAAACCGATACCAACTTGGTATTTGGTATTTGACTCGTAATGTGTTCGGTATTTTGTTGGTACCATGGACCCTCACTAATGTATAAGAGGCTAAGAAATCGGTAAAAAGTTAGTATTTCCCTCATTTTCCCAAGTCGGTTTGGTTTCGGTATTTCCCCGTGGTTTTGGTTGGTATTTGGTTTGGTATCGGTATTCCGATTTTCCGTAATTGACATCACTAGGAGTTACGTACTCTTGCAGTTTTTTAACTGATTATGGTTGAATGAAGTGACATACAATACTTATTATGAGCCACTTCCTCTTAGTGAGAGTAAAGCTAACGACATCTTCCTTGACACGACGCCTTGACAGAGGCGTCTTATTGGCATCGGTGGCGTAACCGCCCTTCGAAGCGACTTCTTCACGCATGCGCGCACAAGTTCCAAACAGCGCAAGGTAGCTCCAAACAAGGCATCTCCCCACTCAAAGGAAACGTTTCCAGTGACATACCATGAACAATGCCAACTTAACCAATCCTCCTACACTAGCCGATGGCGGTGATATTACTTTTGATGGCCTCACGGTGAAGCAAGACCACGGTGCGGAATCATTAACCGGCATGACGAGGCCCACGGCACGGGTCACATTTTCTTCACGTCTGTCACACGCATGGGCGGTTCGCGGTCACACCCTGAGTCCCCGCCCCTTCCCCCGCCTGCCCCCGCCCCAGAGGCCGACGGTCTCGCACGAGCGCCGTATGAGCGCACCTGTTAGTCGTGCGAGTCTGCTTCCGCCGACAGCACACACACACTGTCAGCAGCCAGTGGGAACGAGCCTTTACCGCTCACCGCAGACCGGGACTCACAGGAGTCGAGCCGAGTAGTCAGAGTCCAGCCCGGACTCCGCCTGCCAGGTGGACCCTGACGGACTCCGACCGGGAGAGACTCGCACGCGGCACAGGGCAGTAACACTACATCCGGGATCTGGGTACGGAGACTGCAGCTGCGCATAGGGCGGTAGCACCACAGAGGCGGATGAACGGCAACGGAGCTGGAGACTGCATCTAGGACAGTAACACTAATCTGGAGACTTCGGGCACCCAGAACAGTACATATCCCTATGGCTAGCTGCTTCTGCCCATTGCTCTCAAGCACTGACACACAACATAAGAACGTAGAGTAAGCATTTTCGGGATACTTATGATAAACACTTTATTTTGTACTGGGACCCATACTTTGCGCCAGGCAATCATGACGCTCGCATGATGTTTTGAAACTGCATCGTCTCCCGTAACAAAAGAATGCGGAAAACGGCAACGACTCATTACTTCCACCACCATCACTCGCAAATTGTAGCATAGCAAAATATAGTACGGAATAGCTTTGGCTACCCCGACGGCTCTGTTCCACACAATATTACAACCCAACTCCGATTCGGTCGTTGCCAGCGAGCTAGCTGTGCGCACGACCGCTGGTCACGTGGGAGAATTTAACGCTCCGCCACCCTCGCACTGCGGCGCTCATCGTCAGGAACAGTTAGCAGCATCAGCGACGGCGGCGGTGGTATCGACGTGATGTCTGCAGTGCAGTGGTGACGACGGTATTGTATTGTATTGTATTGTATTACATGGTATCGTAGTATTGTATTATATTGTATTGTATTGCAAGGTATCGTAGTATTGTATTGTGTTGTATCGTAGCATATGAACGACGATGGCCACGCGACGGTAGTGGTGTCGGCGGGAGGGGAGAGGGCAGTCCCCGGCGTGTCTTGTGGGGCTCGGAAGCCACGGAGCGCCACGCGTTGCGCCGTGACTTGCAGCCACATGTAAGGGTCGTTTGCGGGGTTCACAGGGGGTTGGCGGGGCCGGGTTGGCGGGTCAGGGGGCGCACACGTGAATTGCCCGGAAGGGTCTCAGGGTGTGGGTTTGGCTAACAGTGATGGTGAGGAGAGTTGAGCAAGATGGGAGCGAAAGACACCGCCCTTTTCCGGGGTGTTGTTCCTGATGCGCAAGAGTGGGATGATGGAAAACCAAGTGAAAGCATCTGTATGTATGGAGAATGTGTGCTGTCAGGGTGCACAAGTAAGCAATGTTATGTAGAAGCAATGTAGAAGTTTATGTTATCTTTTCATTTTATTTAAAAAGTCATCAAAAGGTGCCTATGCTACTCTTCGCTTAAATGCACAGTCTTTGACCAGACAAATCTCACTAATGCTTCATGCTTTTAAATCTGTTTATCTAGAAATGCAAAACATATTCAAATTTGTATTTGGATTGTCATAGACTCCTGTACAGCAGGCCTACGAGGTAGTTTATTGTGTACAGGGGTCTTCATACCTATGGCATTATTTGCAAATTGTATTTACAATTCTTGAGACAGACTGTTGAAAGCCCAGAACCGAATAAAGTCCCAATCTGGTGACTTGTGGGGTGCCTTGCCGACAGCTGTACCGCCTTAGTGCGTACCATGCGTTCGTGGCCGGTTGCCGAAAATCAGGTCATCTGAAGGCTGCGATGCGGAAGATCTAGTTGATCCAGGGGCTCGTAAGTGGCACACCAGTGGCGCGTAACCACTGTGTCACTACTGTGCTCATCAGAGGAAGCCATATTCCCACACAAGGACGTGGGATCAGCCCCATTGGGCCCGACCTGTTCAGGCGTGCCACTCATATGTGCCGGCTTTCCGCAGTGTTCAATGTTGACTTGTCACTTTCAATGGTTTTGAAGCGATAAGGATTGTAATATTCATGTTATTACTGGACTGTTATTGAGTTGATTGCTGATATGGAAATGACATTTTTTCGCGAAAAATATTTTATCATTACTAATTGCATTGTTGATGAAACTGGCTCATTTTCACTTAATTTTATAAACATTTGCTCTTGCTTTGCAGCACGTTAGCTTAACCCTCGCACGACCAGGCCATTTCTCATAACACGAACGACCAGGGGGGGGGGGTTGTTACGACCCCCCCCCCTGGCGTTTCGAAACGGAAGGTCGTAGAGCTTAGCGGAAAAAACCAACGGATTGCTCTCAACGAGATCTCGCGATTGGTGGTATATTTTTGGTCCTAGGTCAACATTTGACCTACTTTTGACCGGTCAAAGGTCAAATTTTCGGAAAAATAGACTTTTTTCAACTTTCGGCGGCGATTGCGGCAAAACGGTGGGAGATATCGACTTGAAACCTTCACTATCGTGTTCCTTGATCAATTCTCTATCGTTTGGTATGTATTTTGTTTCCCTAGCTCTAAAAATGGCGCGTTGGGAGCGCCGGAAGTCGGCAAGGTCACAGTCGGCGGCAGAAATTCGAAAAATCAAAATTTAAATTTTTGAAATCTGATTGTATTTTTGGATTTGGGAGGTCCATTTGCTCCCTATAGAAGCTAATATTGCTGCATATTCCCATTGAGGTGACAAGAATTAGCAAAATAGTGGTTCGGGCGCTTTTCAAAAATAGTACCGGACGCTGTTCCTCTTGTGACGTCATAGATCCGTGACCTGACCTGACCCGGTCAAGTTTCTTATACCATATGATAGCCAATACTTGCCCCAACATGTATGGGAAGTTTCATCACGATCCATCAACTGATGTCCGTACCACCGGCAGGAAACCTCGGGCGTTGGCACTCAGTTTGTGAAAATCCGGCCGGAGGCTGTACCTCTTATGACGTCATAACTCCGTGACCTGACATGACCCGATCAATTTTTTTTCGGCAAAAGATGCGCAAAGGTTGCCCCAGAGGGTATTGAAAATTTCAGCCCGCTACGACAAGCCGTTTAGCGTGCACTTCGAAAAAACCTCAGGGGGGGGGGGTTGATACAACCCCCCCCCCCCCTAGGCGTTCTAGGGTTAAAACGTCAGCTAAAAAAACTACAGTGGCAAATTTGGTTACAATTAACAGTGCACTTGACATGTAAAAAAGCCACGCACACACACAATGCACCGGAACAAAGCTTATAAAGAAAGCATTCAAGAATGTAGATTATCGTACAAATTCCGTTCACTTTCTTTGTAATTCTTGCAGAAGAATTTCCATTCCTTCATTCTTTGAAACATTGTTTTTGCCATATTCGATTGAAATGTGTTAATGATCGTATAAGACATTTCACAATAATAAAAAATCCGTGCATTGGGTGGAGAAAGAGAGCAGAGTGTAAGGAATTTGTCAACTATTATCATTTTAATATTGACGCACTCAACAAAAAAAAAATTGACCAAGAGAGAAATAAGTCGCATGAAATACAAATTATTTTCGTCTGCTTCCTCGCTCTTAACCCGCGCCCGGCTGGGGGTCCTGGATTTCCACGCCCTGCTGGGGGGGGGGTGTTTGAACACCCCCCCTTCTAACTCGGCTCCTGGGCCACGTAGCGATACGCAGAAGGCGGCGTTCGAAAGAGCGTAAAAAATAATGAGGAAATCACTTCGGTCAATTTTTTGATCAGGTCAAAGGTCAGGTCACCAGAGGTCATTGAAGGCAAATTTTCGCCGATTTCCAGGTCGAATGTCGACAATTTCCAAGAAGCCAACGCATAACTCGGGAACCAATAGAGCTACAGCGCCGCGGAAAAGCGCATTCGATAGCCCTATTAACGCCCTTTCTGAGTAGTTCTCTCAGATTTGACCTAACGTCAACGGTTTTGCCTGCAGGGGGCAAAAACTGCAAAAATAGCCGATTTTTTCGGAAACAGTTTTTCTGCAATAACTTTTGACCCAAGCCTTGTACGAGCTTACTTTTACCGGCATCGTGTTCCTCTCGTCAAGACGCATCGAATGAACTATAACTTGACCTTGAAAGGTCAACTTGAAAATTTGACCTCAGGTCAAGGTCATGACCTGACCGGAAAGGGTCATGTTGCATATCAGTCGATCCGTATCGTCGAGCTGAACACATCTAAGGCGTTTTCATCGCTCTAGCATGCCTCTATCAAAAGTTATTTGCGAAAAACTGTTAGATACCATTCGTGACCTAAGATGACCTCAGGGCATAAACAGGGGTCACGGACACTATTTTCATGTTCATTGTGTCTAAACCACTTGTAATTCAGTGTTTGGGAGTGTTTATAATGTCTTTCGTCCAAAAGAGGCGCATTTCAATTTTCTCCCATTGACTTATAATGGGGAGGTCGCAAAATTGACCTGACCTTAGGTCATCGATATCAAAATTCTGAGATATACATTTTGTACATGCTATTGCTGCTAGCAATCGCTGAAAGTTTCAAAGCGATCGGTCACTCGGTGTAGCTATGACAGACATTGAAACTTTTTATGAGGTGAGGTCACTTCAAGTGACCTGGTGACCTGACCTTGAATGACCTTGGTCTGAAATTTTCACAACATGTGTAGAATTGATGTGTGATAAGGTGTACCAAAAACGGCGGCGCTCCGCGCCGCCGTTTTTGAGATATTCGCAAAAAACCACAAGGGGGGGTGTTCAAACACCCCCCCCCAGCAGGGCGCGGGTTAATAACGTCATTTTAGATGTGATTTATCGTAATCAATGGTATCACTGTAACCATAATCACATCACTGTAATTTACAAGTAATTATCACCCAATTTTCCATGGGAGCAATCCCTGCCCCATATCCCTCTGTGTTTTCCTGTGACGTGTTTGCGAATGCGGTCACGAATTTCGCGAATAGTACCCGAGCTACAATGCGCTACCAGCCGTAAACTGAATGAGCTCGTGACGTTGGGTCGCATGCCAGGCGTAACAACGAGGCAAAATATAGGCGAGGCAGAAACAACAGACACACTTAATCTGGAGAAGTGGCTTTTGTAAGAGAATACAGATTCATAGGAGCTAATATTGTAAAAAGCAGCTTTAGAGTGGCTCAACTTACAAAAGTACATTTCTGCTCCCAGTATGTCTTGTTGAGCTGTATCAATGTCGAACTGTGTAACGTAATCGCAGTCGGTAGCAAGCACTAAGTTCATATTGACAATGATATTTTAGTTTTCATTTTTAGATTAATAGCCAGTAGTTACTTCTCAGCTAGATAGACTGAATACAATCGCATTAAAGAGCCATAGTTAGTACAAGACAAGTCACTTCACAATCCCAAGCTATCGGGCAATATAACGCTATTGTGACCAAGTGCAGTTGACGGGCTGACAGTTGAAGAAAAAATATATATTTAATCCGCACATGAAGTATCTTGGCAAAATATGCAATCACGTAACATAGAATCAACACACATCGTGCCGACGTGCCGGTAATTCACCTACCTCGTTTGAGCCGACTCTCCGTTGTCGAATTCCACAGCTTCTTCACAAGCACATGTCGCAGCGATCCGCTGCTGAGCCTCTGACGTCACTGGCTACCGGCGAGTCTGTGTGACCGTTCTCTGACGTCACTGGGTGCTGAGGAGCGGTCCGTGCTCTCCTGTCGGCCGTCCGGACAGTACTGAAGGCCCACCGTGCGGAGCGCTCCAGCCAAAAGTGAAACTGCCAGCCCGTGTCGGTCTCTGGCGGTGGCCGAGGGCGCGCCGCGTGCCGCAGAGTCCCGCCACTGCAGAAAGCATCTCCGGTCTGCACGGGCAGGGTCAACATGTCAACGGCCGCCGGTGTCGGGGTGATGGATTTCTGACCCGGCTCTGGCCGGCCGGAGAGGTGTCAAGGAGATGGCCGGGAGATGGCATAATAAGAGGGAATGGGGCTGATCGCTTCCTGGAATAGGGGCAGTGGAGATGCAGCGCTGCGGATTGATCTTAGTGAGTCGCTTATAACGGTGTTCTGAGCATAGAGCATAGTGATAATAATACACAGTATTCTATTCAATAACACGCGATAATCATTGTTCAAAATTCTAACATATGACGAAGACAAAAAATCTAAAACAAGGGACAGTAGCATCACGTCTTTTATGGCATTGGAGACTAAAAATGGAATGCTATCTTCCATTTTGATTTCTCCCTTCCTTTTAAGCACTCTCCAGTCTCCAATATATTCAAGTTTTAGTTATGGCTTCTTCAAGAAGCCAGCATAAGATACAAATAGTTATAGCTACCCCAAAGGACGTCTGTGTGTTGTACCCACTCACCCGATATTTTATGAGTGCTTAGTCACTGTCACTGCATTGCCGCTCTGCTCATGAAAACGAGACTTCTTTACTGAATTATCCAGTGAGTAATCAGTCTCAACAAATTCCTCCCACTCTCGATGCTTGTTGAACTGGTCCGAGGCTTAGAAACTTGGCTCCGGTGGCACAAACGCGAGTACCGGGAGTTCCTAAATAAACAGTCGAATTTAAAAGCTGTATATTATCAGCATGGAAGGCATGACAAAAACGAATCACTTTCTAACATACACAATAGTCGATGCCATTTCACGTGATACCATCTTCTTTTTGCTGTCTTTTCATTTGCGGCCACAGAGGACATGTTCCAGATGAGCCCCCTCTCGCTCCACACACAGCTCTGCGCGTCGCCGAGCGGACTCCACCGCAGCCCGGCAGATCTCCGGCCACACTCGGCGCACCGCGGACGACACGGCCCTCTTGAGGTCATCTGTAGTTCTGGGGTTGCTTTTGTAGACCTGTGACTTCAGGTGACCCCAGAGAAAGAAGTCAAGTGGGGTCAGATCCGAAGAGTGTGGGGACCAGGTCCGCACCTCTCTGCGGGAGATAACCCGCGCACCGAATCGGTTCCGCAGCCATTCTCGAGTCGCAACGGCCGTGTGCGCCGAGGCTCCGTCTTGTTGGAACCATTGATGGTCCATCAGCTGCCTGTCTCCACCCAGCCGCCTGTTCAGCGCAGTCCAGAACTTGGCTAGGACTTGCTGGTAGCGCAGAGCGTTGACGGTGACAGACTCCCCAGCGTCGTTCTCAAACCAGAAAGGTCCGATGATGCCACTGCTGCTCATTGCACACCAGGCTGTGCACTTCACACTGTGCAGAGGGGCTTCCGCGACCAAATCGGGTGGCTCCGTCGACCAGAATCGAAAATTCTGGGAGTTCACGCGGCCATCCATATGAAAATGGGCCTCGTCGTTGAACCAGATTCGGTGAAGGAACTCATTGTCCTGCTCGCAATTTCTCAAAAACCAGCCTCTGTAAAGAAGCCGTGACTGTTTGTCGACTTTCGACAGTGCTTGGTGAACGGAGACCTTATACGGGAACAGCTGAACGTCGTTTCTGGCCAAACGGTGAGCGGTGGTTTTGCTACAGCCCAGTTCCTGGCCCAGCCGTCTGAGCGACTTTTGTGGGCTCCTCTGGAGGGCTTCTCGTGCCCTTTGGGCGTTTAGAGGCGTCCTCTTGGTTCCTTTTCGGCCACATTTACCCTTTTTTACGTTCTCCACACTACCTCTTGCCAAAAACTTCTCAACTATACTTAAAATGACGGTTCTTGATGGCACTTGGGTCCTTTTTAAGTGTCGGCGTAGCTTACGTTGTGTTGCAACGATTGACTTTGTCTCAAAATAGAAATGTACTATTTTTGTTTTTATGTCTGTACTATACGGCTGCATGATAGAAAGTGATTGATTTTGGTATGAAATAAAATGGCATTGCACGTGCTATCATCACGTGCAATTTTATTGTTGTGATTTTGTTAGTGACGCCACTAGAGGCAAAAATAATTCGACTGTTTATTTAGGAACTCCCGGTATTACGTGATTCAGCTACTAATGTGACTTGAAACAGGATGAAACAGACGTATGTACATGCGATGGTTTTTTTGAATTTTGGTCCTGTTGCATATCCTCTGCGATCGAACTTGTTCAACGTTTTATGATTTGGTACCAAATTTGGGCATTTGGATGGGATTTCGTCCTAAGAATTGTTATATGTATTCTACATGTAGTTTCAAATAAAGTACATCGAACGGACCACAGTCTCTAAAGTAGATTCGATCGACATTCGGTCATAAAAAAGTGTTGTGACACAGTGCAAGATACACCTAATATACAAGGCAGATATATTACATATGTTTGTGTGGAATTACCAACAAAGCTGTTTCAACGCTAACCCACGACATCTGACGCCAATTTGGTCCCACCTGATGTGACCGTGGACAGACTCTGGTTGCCGCTATATGTTACGGTGCCGAGCACCATTAAGGCCAATCTAATTGAGCCGTTTCCCATGAGTTCGTTGTCCAGGCTATTGAGGACGACCGCAGCTTTATGCAGCAAAACAGAAGCAGCAGTGTGCACAATGACTTTAAACGATTAATTGTTTAGAAACAAAACATGTTCCCATATCTAAGGTAGCTATCATACATGCTCGTCCGGTTGGTTGATGCATTACCTATTTATGGAAAAATGTAAAACAAGACTTTGTGGCTTGTACGAGACAACTAAAGATCATTCCATGATAATGCGACGTAAAAATAGCGAAATACGTTTTTATGCGACGCCAAAATAGAGTTCGAGAACCTTAGCCTCAACAAAAAAAAAGCAAGTACGGATTGAGATAGCTTGGCCGAATATCAACGAAGTACCTGAGTTACCTTCTTATCGATTTCGTAGCGAAGACAAAGTGGACGGTGTTGCAAATCACATAGGCAAGATATCCATTTTGTCAATGGGGCACATACTTATGAGTATGACGCAATTATGAATCACGTTTGAGCCATTCACACCACAAAATGGGTAACGGCACATGACAATCACTCGTTATATCGACCATAAAAAGAGCTGAGTTTCCTATCACTATTTCTATCTCTGTTCTACCACACATGGACCACTTAGCGTTTAATTTGTCAAACAGGCTTCGTGAACCGATTGACGTTGCGAAAATACAACGGTGAAGTGGATCATTATCAGGTATAAAGACAGATGATAAATCTCATAATCATTTACATTTTAGGTCACTGGTTTATTCTCTAATACGCTGTATACTAAGAATGCACATTGTACGACCTTTTGACAAAAAGGTGCTTCCAAAAGAAGTGAAACATTTGTTGGCAATGGGGTGATGATATCTATTTTCAGCGTCCGATCAGAGGTTATTAGACATTAATCAGAGGTTATACAAATGACGACAGTTGATATTCCCTGCTTTCAAACGGCCTCCAGCACATGTGTCAGGGTGGTCGGTAAAGGCCACGGGTTAAATTGTGTTAGGGGTTCGTCGTGCGTGACTATCGCAAAAACTACGCATGGCTACGTACGACCAGTGCTGACAATGCCCAGTGCACGGTTCATGATCATTTCAGGGACACCTGCTAACATTATTCGCCCTTACTTCTTTGTCGTGAGAACACTTACGGCTACTCATTAATTGTTGGCGAATAGGTAGCACGACTTTACTTGCAAAGTTACGTTTATTCATTATATCAACACAACTGCATGAATTACTGTTGGCAAACGAAAATGACATTTAAGTCCCACCAAATGAGAGCCCGCGCTGGAAGCACTGTTACGCGTGATTTGTGTGCTTTGTTTGCTAGGCTCTTTCGATCTAAGTGAACCATTTCAGGACCGTGGGATGCGAAGGTTAGGGGAAATATTGGGCCGATTCGATCAGACTAGTGTGCCGCAGGGGCTGAGCCCACATTCTGAGGGAGGACAGCATAACCTGACGGGACAAGACAAGCCAACCGACCGCTAAAACTATGTTTTAGGGCCTTGGCTAAAACAACTGCCCTGGAAATGCACACTCTTTTCGTAGCTGTCCTCTCTCGGAGGTCTGGCGGAATTTTGGCTGACCGGCAGTCCTGAGCCTAGAACCGGAAGCATGATCGATCATGAACGATCATCGGTCAATAATTGAAAGGTTCGGGTGGATTGGTCAATAGAAAATGAACGGATGGGCTCCTGAAAGGAAAGTCTGGCCTGGTCTGCGAGGGGGCATCTGACGCCACCTGAAACAAATTGGTGAAGCATGATGACTGTGCTCGACGAGGTAAGCAACCAACATGTTCAATTGTCAATTAAAAAAGCCAATTAGGAGTTGTTTCAGAGTATGTTCGATCATAATTTCTCGGAGAGATGAATTCTCAGCTGAGGTGCTTACCTGCTGGGAAGACGTAACCAACATCTTAGGACTTTGATTATCACCGAAATCCAAGGCGTCGCTTCCGAGATACTTCCGATATACCGGAAGCAGGGACGGTTCCCTGGACGTTTCCTGCACACAAAGCAGATCGAGAGCGCCGTCTACCCGGCACCACCACCTCAACTACCACCCTCTGCAGCCCACCAAACTCCCGTATAGATGTCGCTGTCGGCGCGGCGGCGGCTCCCCGAGGCTACTGGTCCGGCCGGCCGGCCGGCTCGCCGGCCCGTACCAGTGCTGTTCTGGGCCCGGAGTTGGGAGAGCGGGGTCGCGGCGGTGCGGCTGGACCACATTCAGCGGCGACCGTGACAGGTAGGTCCGGCGCGGCCGGCTTGGTGCGCTCGCCGGCCGGCCTCCGGGGCGAGGCTGACCGCGTTCTGGCGGCGTTCACCAGCTGGGGCCTGGGGTACCGTCCGTGGGGGCGGTCACATACGTGGCGCTCGGCAGACGGGCTGGCCACGTGGTGCTGAAATGCATAGTTCATGGTGCGTTAGGGTGTGAATAGCTGCTCTTTATGCGGTGATTTGTGGGATTTTTGTTTACACCGGAATGTCTTATGGTACTTTTTATATTGGCGGCATTCATGGCAAGTTGAACTGCTCCTTTACTCCTTAAAGGAGTAGGTAATGATTACATAGTTAAATTTTGGGAACACTTTTTCATTATCAAACTTCTCACTCAGTTCATTAGTCATGATAACACTCCGAGCGCTCGTATCTGTTCAAGGCATTATCGCGCATAGCACATGCCTAAATACATACTGTGCGCTAATTTTACATTTAAGTGTAAAATACTGAACCGAGTATTGTGTGTCTATGAGCTCTGGTAAAACAATTCAGATATGCAATGCCAGTTTAAAAAAAAAAAATGAATTGCAGCCAGCGCTTTTGTCTAGTAAAACTGGCCTTGGCTTACAAAAATCAACCCTCAGCTAAATGGATCAAGCCAGTTAGTGATTCATTTCCTTCATTGTTTGATTGTGTGGCAGATCATTAACTTAGATATTTCGATAGCTCAACGTCAAAGTCGCTGTCGTGGTGCGAACATCGCGACGTTTTTCCCTCCTATCCGCGTAACCTTGCTACATTTTTTTGTCCAGCGTCGTCCGTAAAAGGTCAAATGGCCTCCACTCTCACTAATAAAGAGCGTGGCGCAGCAATCGACTACGACCGGTGTTAAATAATGGAGAGTACACGCGCCATATGAATAAGTAGCCAATGGGAAAATATTACGTACCTACCTTTTGACGCTTGCTTTGTTTTGATATATTGTAACAAATTTAAACTTACCTCGGGTAAGAATTTAACATGACGAGTTCAGATCATTTTGCTTTCTATGGTCCAATAAGTTTATTTATTTAACCAAGAACTGTTCGAAGCTATATAACAGTTATACGGATAGCGATATGCCCAGAATCGACCTTCCACAAACTCGGATTTTGCAGTATAGAAGCCCCAAAGCCTCTCGTTCTCGAAAAGAATGTGTCGAACGCTGATGACGCATTGTCAGTAGATTACAGGCGTGTGCCCTCTTTAAGTTCAATGTTTTTACGATAAAATGTTTTCTCACGAAGTGTAATTTGAGGATGAAACACAGCTCATTGGTATAGATTTGTATGTTCCTCTTGCCACTGTCGTAAATGATTTTCACGCTTTAAACCCACGAGAAACGACTTGCAAGGAGACAGAATTATCCCATTGCTGAGATTAACCCTTCCCGGCCGAAAGTTGCCGTGACGGACCTTTTTTACGATTTTTTGAGAAGGTCAAGCATTAGTGAAAGAGTTAAACCTCATCGGCCAAAAGGGGGTGGGTGCTGCCCCCATAGTTTTTTTTCCACGATAGTTCGGCACATGCTGTCGATAGAAAGCTGAAACGTGGAATACCTAACCTTTAATTAAAGCCAGATCTTGGGACACTAACTACATTTTCAGGCTAGGTCAGGTCACTGATCTATGACGTCGTAAATGAACCTCGGCGTCCGTAATCCGTCTAAAAAGCCGTAATGGTCCTAACTTCGCAACACCTTCAGTGCCAGACGAGCTTTCACAGGGAGGTGAAACTTGTAGGGCAGAAACATCCGAGGTGTCACAACTTGAATATCACGAATTTTTTTTTCGGAGGTTCACCTGAGGTCAGGTCGGTCACGTGACCTCACCATTACCTATAGGTAGTCAATGGGAAAGCATGGAAACTGTTATTTTGGCGCTGGCAATGGTCTAAAACTATATCTCAAGCGCGCATAATCGTGATTGGAAGCACTCATTGCAAGGTAAGGTGCTTCACTTTTGCATTTTTGACCTTGAGTGACGTTACCTATGACGTCACTAATGTAATTAGATTTGATCGTCAATAACTCCCGATCAAATTGAGCTAGTGAGTCCGAATTGCCACCAATGGACTCTGAAAGACCTGCCAAATCGAATGATATGCAATAGTACCTCCTTTGACCTGCTTCATGACTTGAGGGGCTCTGACATGACCTTGACCCTAGGTCAACACCTTAAGTTGACCTCACCTAAACAAAAATGATGCCATTCAACGCGCCTGTGCTAGCCAAACACGATGGTGCCAAAATCGCGGCTCTGCGACCATTTTTGGTGAAGCTAGTTACCAAAACAGACCACGTACCCTTGGGCACTTGACCTGACCTCAGAGGTCACTGGTTGACCTGAGACCTTAAAATCGGGTACAGTTCGCTGCGTCTCACAACGGCGCACACGTTCACAACGCTCTAGCTCAAGTAGGGGCGAAACAGTGTGTGTGTGTGTGTGGGGGGGTCGTACCAAACCCCCTCGGCCCCTCGTCTAGGTTTGAAGAAAACCATGAGAGTAGAAAACCAATAGGTTCGTTAAAAAATGACATAGCTGACCTTCGATTCAAGCCGGATCTTGTAATAGCAACAACATTTTCAGGTCAGGTCAGTGGCGCCGTAAGCCAAAGTGAACCCATGAAGGTAAAACCCATGGTAAAAATGTTCTCGTGATGGTTTCAGGATCAATAGAAATCTGATAATATGACATAAAATTGCTTTATCCATTTTCAAACGTTTCGACTTTATTCAAAGTCATCTTCAGTGTTAAGATAGACAAGTACACAATTACATGCTGACATAAATATACAAGCAGTCGATGCAGGGTATCAGTCGATGCACATCACACACTTCACAAAAACAAGACATAAAACAACATTCGTGTTGGTTCGGTCGTCTTCCTACAGAACGATACTTAGTTTAAACGCAGATGATCGGTCATTGATGGTCGGTTTCGCTTCAAATATGTGTAAAGATTCTAAAATTCGTAAATTGAAGTTTGAGCGTTTTTGATCTATGATTTTGAAATCATAGATCATAGTTAATCAAGCGAAACCGACCATCAATGACCGATCATCTGCGTTTAAACTAAGTATCGTTCTGAATATCGTAGAAGAATAACCTTATGCTCACTATCTTTAAACAAACCCAAAAATTAGCCTAAAATCAATGAATATATTTCGGAAACGTTCCTTCTTCAGTTCAAAAAGTTAACTATACAAGCCACAGAAATGTACAAATAATTGAACGTCACAAAAGCGCCGAATTCACTGATCCCACCTACGAATATTAGTCACATTCTCGTGCCATATAAGTAGAACGGCCTCTTTTAATCAACGCAAGACTAAAATAACAGGTATACATAAGGTAACGTAACCAAATACAACTGTATGAGATCACTTGTGACCCAACGAATAACTATGCTAGTCATCTTAGAAACACACAATATAATTACAACTAACATGCAAGGTGTTCTAACTAATGCAAGGTGCAAGGTGTTCTAACTAATTTGCCAAGGTGTAAGTATCGTTCTGTAGGAAGACGACCGAACCAACACGAATGCTGTTTTATGTCTTGTTTTTGTGAAGTGTGTGATGTGCATCGACTGATACCCTGCATCGACTGCTTGTATATTTATGTCAGCATGTAATTGTGTACTTGTCTATCTTAACACTGAAGATGACTTTGAATAAAGTCGAAACGTTTGAAAATGGATAAAGCAATTTTATGCCATGGTAAAAAATATCGGAAGCTTGCAAGTTGCAAAGCCTGATACCATTGATATTAGTTAATTTTCGCTGAGAGCTGAAACGTGCAGGACGTAGCAAGCTACCGAGTCTTCATTTCCCATGTCTTATGTTAATCAAGGTCACCTGAGGTCAGGTCGGTCACGTGACCTTGCAGTTATAAGTTAATGGGAGAGGATACACATGGAAGCTGGTCCTGCCACTAATAGGGTTAAAGGCGAAAAGACTTATGAAGTTCCTACGATTATATTTTTTTAATAACCGCTGCTACGATAAACAGACAGCAGTGCTTGGCGAGCGACCTAGTCACGCATAGTCCCGCGACATAGAGCATATCGATCGAATGCACTCCCTTTATTATTTTTTTTTCAAGCGAATAGAAGATTGATCCCATGCTTTGAACCACTATCTATGAGACAAACACCCATTAAATTGGTGGGCGAAACGGGAGTTAGCCTGATGCTGTGCGGAGTGAGCGTATAGTGAGCAAAACGCATAGAAAAATCAGTTACAAACGTAATGGCAACAGTTATTTTTTCATCATGTCCAAGGGGCGTTTGCCATTGGTAATCGCCTACCTACCATCTATTGATGTTGTCTTCATTATCAGGTAAAGGCATCAGCGGAAGTAATTTGCCTTTGTTGAGTGTGCCGTGTCATTTAAACATTGCAGATCTAGCTAGCACCTAAAGGCGCTTGCTTTTGCCCATGGTTTACCCAAAAAAAAGAAACTGAAGGTGCCGTTCGACTTATGAACATTATCGGTGTCCATCGGTGTCTCCTATGATACCGCGCACATAAGTAGTTCTTCCATGCAATTTGAGTAGGCCAGCCTTTTTCGTATTTGTATTTCAACCTGAAGCAGCTGCGGCCCTCTGGTCCGATAGCCCAAGCTTCTTGCCCGAGCCTTGTGAAGTCAAACGCACGATAGCACGGTAGTGCTCCTCGCCAATCGTCGGGAATTCCAGAGCCTGTGGCGGTCTACAAGTCCGCCCAGCCTGGAGACATCCAATCTGGACTGTCATTCACCATACCTGCAAGTCACTCGCTCCGTGGGTCCATGAGCGCAGCGACCGAGGCTTGGTTCAGTAGCGATCGGGTGAACCAGGCCGAACAGTATCACACAGGCATTGCTGGCATACAGCTCATGCCTGTCGTGACGTGAACGCGTGCGCTCAACGCGAGAGCGACCGGAAATTTTAATGTTGGCTGAATGCTTTGAATGTGACTTTTCCATCAATATTTCCATCGGAGTCTTTTCAGCAATGATTTGGGTGAACGAAACATTCAGTGCGTCGTCTTCCGCAACTCGCAGATAATC